TGCATGTCGGCATTTTTATAAGAACTCATACTTTGTAGTAAAGGAACAACAAAACTGCTCTTTCTTCCAAGTGCAGCCATGAAACTCTGCTCCCTTATGAAGATGAAAAAAAGCAGATACTTCAATCTAAATCGGCAGATTGTTTCATCATCATGAAATTATTTCTGAACTAATACTTCCGAGAATAGCAAAATAGTCTTTTTTATTGGAATGTTATTTAGTTGCAAGTGAAGTCCTTCTGTCAAAGCAGAGCTAAAGTTAAATAATAAAAAATTGGTAGCAGATTACATTTTAGGGCAGAACAGACCCTGTATGTCTCTTCTGGCATAAAACCACTTTTCCTTCCTGCTATTCATTTTTTATCAATTGTAGACTGGCTGCTGACCAAGTGCAGGGCAGTGTACAATCCTGTGCAGGAGATATGCCCCCAATGGCTGAAGATGGAAGACTCCAAATCTGGAAGAAGCCTAGGAAAACATGGCAGCAGTAGCAGCAGCAGCAACAGAGGGTCAAAGAGGTAGCATAGATCTCACATTGCTGGAGGAGGGCACACTAAAAGGTATGACTGCCATAATGTGCACATGTGCTGTGCATATTTGCGCATTGTAGCAAGAGCTGCGGGGACTTGTGCACATTTAGTAAAAGAAGGAAATACCAATTGCTGCATTGCTTTCAAATAGGCAACATTTCCCTGGGACTAGCTGCAATCCGGTGACTCAAATTCACTCCAAAGTTTAAAAGCTTGACAGAAAACAAGGAAATGAGAGACATAAGAAGGAGGTAATAGCTGTGATTCCCTGGAAGGAGGATGTGAAGGCACAGCTGTCCTTTGGTAGTTGTGGCTCCAGCTATAGTCATTGAATTGAAGATGTAAGTTGCACATCCTTCCTTTTTGAAATGCCATTCCTATTCAATTTCCAGCTAAACCACAATCAGAAGGGAAACAGAGAGCTCCCAACAAAGATGAATTAAAGGGAAAGTATATTGTAATTTCACTGAGCCAAGACTTTGCGTTATTATTGCAGTGATTTCTTATTATGCCATCTTAGAAATGGCTTTCTTACTGCCACATGATCTGTCAAACCTGCAGCTTGAAGTCTTCACAGTTGAAACTGAGACTTGCTTACTTCGATCAGTGTTAAGCTGTGCCTGAAGCTGTTGTGTTGTGGGCCGCCTGTCATCACCCAAGAAACTTGTCTTCTGATTCTGTTGTGATTTTGGGTTTGCCAGGCCTCTTCCTGTCAGAGTTACCTCCAGTTTCCAAGTTCTTTAATTGGTGCAGGAAACTGTAATCACTGATACCTTGGCTTTCTTTACAATTTCTCTAAAGGAAAGACCTACACCTTTAGGGGGTTATAATGTCTGTTTGTCTTCCTTTGTTAACTGCCCTTTTGTTTGCCATTTTGAGAGCAATATACTACTTTCTGCAGTACAATACTGTCCAAATATTTTTTAAATGGGTGTAGTAGCACAGTCTGTTCCAAGACTGGTTTTTTTACAGACAGAGGGCTTGTGAGTAATCAACAAAAGTTGGGACACCTGTAGGAATTGTTACCATAAACTTTCAAGGCTTAATTTACTTGCAGTACATTGCTGCAGAACAACTTTGAGTTGTTAACCCATTACTTCTTCTTCACTGAAAAAAAGTATTTTTGTACAATTCTGACCGTTATATATCTATACATTATTTTTCAGTTTTTGTTAACCTAAACTTTTCTTTTTCACCTCTGGCAGTTTACCGTTTACCATTGTACCATTTCAGGTTATTCACTGGACTTGAACTGCTTACATTTCAATAAAAACTGGAAAATTGGAAGTGTTCTAAAACTTTTGACCGGTAGTGTAAATACAAAATTATGAATCCTACATAGAAACACTTTTTAAAACATGAAGGGGTTGATTTACTAACCTTATAAACACACCACGAACATGTATACACCTCTGTATTGTGTTCCCTCCCAGCATTATCTATGGGTAGAATCTAAACACCTTTGTAGTGTGTACACACCCAGCAGGTGTGTTGTGCAAAGCCGTGCATGAATTTGAAAGGTGATGTTGTGTAAATTAGCTCTATGTTGTGTTGCTTGCGTTGATGAATGCAGGAATGTAAATGCATGAGCTAACCATTTTTGTCTAAACTGTGAAGCAGCATTATATATGCATCATGTGCATGATTTTTCCATATATGGCATTAGTGGAAATATGCTTTTAGAGACTTTTTGGTTGATAAATAAGTTTTGCTGTGTAAAAATGACACGCACCTAGTGCGTGCATGTGTTTAGGTTAGTAAATCACCCCTGAAGACTTGAAAAATATGAAGCTTCAAAACATTCCCACCTTCTTCCCCATGAACTTGTGAATTGTTTTGTTGGGGGGGGAAGTGTTGTATGATCCATCCTGGACATAATTTGAAACATATTTTTTAGGGTTTAAATCCCTGAAGAGAGGCAAGCATTTGGCTGTTCATGCCACAGCCTGTTTTCTCTGTCCACATCTGCAGCAGTTAAAAGGAGACCTGAGGTTAATGGGAACAGGTACTGTTCATCCTCATTTTTGGCTCTTATACACAGAGCAAGCATTACATAAAACCTGGACTCTGTACACTCTGTTCTGTGCACCTGTATCTAGCTGAGAATCATCTGCTAAATATCACGCATATTCAAGTTTGGTCATCATCTAGGTATTTAAAAAGGGAAATCATCCAAACTGTTAGAAGACAAGGCTCCTTGTTGCCATTATTATATACACAACAGTTTTTCCTGAGACTTTAAGCACCATTGCTTAACAATTATATTTGAAGCATACTTGATGCATTAGAGCAAACTTTAATTATTAACAAAGCCCCTTTATTAAAAAAAAATCAGTACTGCCCCATGACACTTTAATGATAGCTCAATTTTTACAAATGTTCCACTTCTTTTGACACACATGACTCCAGTATGATAAACATGTAGAAAACTAAAGATCCGTAAGATCTTAAGATCCATATTTATTATGTCATGAGGATGTTAAACACAAACATATGATATGGGCACATGATTAGGCCTCCAAGGAGATAAAAGGTTGTGGGGCGAAAAATGTTAGTGGCGATTAGTGAGAGGGTAACAAGGATAATAAAACAATCACAAACAGCTGAATTAGTGTGTTTCCAGTGGGACTATAATATAGAAAGATACCTACATTGTTTTATTATAAATGAGTGGGTAAAAACTATTTAAAGGTATAATTAGTAAATAGTTTTTTTTTTATATATGTGTTGTGGCTTTCTAAACTATTATTATAGCTGTATTACTTGTCACCATCATTATACATAGTTACATAGTAGTTACATATACTTTTTTGTTATTTCTTTCCTCTTGCTCTATTGCTTAATATTAATGTTTTGGTTAGTTTAACAACATGGCCGTTTTGAAGCTTTTTAATTATTAAAAAAAAAAAACAACACTTTCATAGGCCGTTGATCTGAAATTCCCTTATGTCACTAATGTGAACCAGAGCAAACCCTGGGAAGCATCCACATTACAATCTTTATCAAGCTTTATACATTATCATATCTGCCTTTTCTTAAAGGCAAAATAGACATATGTCCTGGGCCTAACAAAACACAGGGCCCATAATAAGGTCACAGTAATAGAACTTGAAGAGAAAAATAACTACAGGAAAAGCTACACAAGTGATTTCTTAACCAGGCTATAGTGTAAACATTAATCTCCTGGGAACAGACTTGTAATTACCAGTATATAACAGTTGAGCTCAGTATGCAAAACTATATAAAAGTAGTTTGACTGCTTACAATGCTGTGATACTATGCTATGATCATGTTGGTCACTCTTGAATGTCTTGTTTGGATTTGCCAAAAGCCACATTTAAAAATGTCTCAAGTAACATGGTCCCAAAACTGACTGATCATGACATGCTTTAAAATAGGATAGATGGAAAAAGAAAATTCTAATGAGAGAGCAAGCGCCTCAAATAAATGAATAAATACTTTGATTGGAAGTTTACTAAAGAAACCTTTGTACTTAGAGAAAAATTATAATCATTTTTGGTCAGTTTTAATTAACATTTGTTTTGAAAGTTTGCTCATTTAAAAACAGATGTTTTATATAAATTTAAATTATGACTATAATGTCTTTATTTTACAAAGAACCGTTTAACCATTTAAGAAACTTTGTAGTTCACAGAAGCTTTCACAGATGATAGATACTCAAGCATCAGAACCTTCCAATTTGTCTAGAAGAGATGCTATCAATAGAAGTTTGTGCACTGATTTGTGAAAACAGGAGTTTCTGTTCAATGCTTGTTAAATTGTAAATCAAATTGATACATTGTAGTTAGCTGTGGCTTTGAGCTATTTTAAATTAATCTGCAGTATTTTCTTTAGGAACTTCTGCAGTAAACCTTTACCCCCTCTGAAATTAAAGGGGATATTCCTATTGAATTCTTGCACGGTGACCATAGGTGGGAGCCCAATTACCACCAGCTAATAACAAGCTTTTCCTTGTTATTCTCTTCTGTGTCTACACCATCTTTAGATTTCTGCTAGTGCTCTGCCCTGGATTTCCATGTTGCATCTGTCATCAGGTTTCATTGCTCCAGGAGGCCCCATAATCCCTAGATATAGCTAGCAGTTACTTGCTACCTATGACAGAACCCTGTGTTGTTTGTTTGCTGTGGGTTGAGTCTCACCCAAACTGATTCAATCATCCCTGTGAGTCCAAACTTTTTTCAAACCTGGGACTGCTTTGTAACCTCCTTGAAACTGATAGGACTTGCTTTTTACGGATATTTGTTTTATTTTATTTCATTTACTTTACTTTTATAGAACTGAATACTGTTGTACACACATTTAAGAATAAACATAATTTCCTAAGGGTTGGAAACATCATCTATAAATTACATGGATCTATACTATACAGTCATGGAAAGGCACCAGTTATGGTCCAGATACGGATGGCTGACAAACACTGATGTAAAAAAGGAATGTGATGAGCACTTACCAAGGACATTCACTTGGAAACTGAAGCTGTCACTCAGATTATGTTGAGTATTAACTACATGTATAGTGTAAGTCCCAGAGTGATTTTCTCCTAAGTTCTTTATAAGTAAACTGTGTTTTTCTGTGTTCGCCTTATAACAGGTACTGTTCATTTCTATTAGTTTGCCATCTTTCAACCTGTAAAAAGTAGGAAAAAAAAGTTGCTTTAAAAAGTAATGAAAGTTGATTTTTGGAGGGAGTTCTCATTTCATAAGACATTTACTTTAGCTGATGGAAAGAAAAATAATAAAACAAAAAAACAAACAGATCTGACCAGCTGTCACTAATTCCCGGAGCATGCTGTTTCATCTCTCAGATGCCTTTTTCTTTCTTTGTTTTTTAGAACCACAGTTTACAATATTAAATCCTTCCACTTAACATAATTTGGTGCTGAGTGCATGTCTTTTCTAACCTTCTTTTCTTCATTCTCTTGTCTAGCCTCCTCCCAGGGCAGCATTTACACAAGGGGTCTAAAAATAATTCCCTTCACCCTGTGTTGGTTGTGCTAATAATACTGGCCTAAACCCAAGAAAACTCAAAAGATAAGTCACAAGCCAAATCCAAATACATTTGTTGCTTGCAGTACTTTCTCAGGTGTAGACAATTCCAACAGCATCATCACCACTCCAATTACAAATGACATATGGCACAGAATCCCCTAAATCTCCTTTCAACTAAACAAGGATCATTTTCACAGACATTTTTTTTATCAGGACACAGGTATCATTTTACATGCTTGTTCACTTTGTCTATGAGCATCCCATCCTGCTACTTGCTCAGAAAGTTCTTGCTTATAAAGACATGCTTTCCCTTTCTGTTTGTTTACTTAAAGTACATCTAAACCCAAGAACAAAAAGGTAATATATTGCAGATGACTAGTACTTTCTATACACCTTGAAGACATTGGCTTTTATGGAGTGTCCCCGAAGATAGCACTAGATCTTATTTTCGGGGTAGGTCTTACTTTCGGGGAAACACGGTATGTATTTTTGCTTCAACAGAAAACTACACCAACTAAAATGTCTATCTTGTATTTAGTAAGGTCACACAAGAGCTTTGAATGCCAGAGATTTTTTGATTAAGAATTGCCTCCTAAAATATCCATACAGATATGATGATGACTACACCATCTCAGTGTGAAAGTCAACAGGAAACACTCTGAAACTCTCACATATGTATCATTGTTTTGATGAATTTCATTATATTTGGCAAGATCATAGGTAAAATTCTTGTGAAAATCTCCCCCGTTCCTGACATGTTAGCTAAAGAAATAATTCCCCAAAATGTGACCCTCTTCAATTTAAAGGTTATTCTAGAAATGGAGAGATAATACACATAGATGTATGAATAACCTACTTTAAACACCCTTTGATGTTGTGACTTACCAAATGCTTTGTGGCAATGGAAAAGCTTTGACTTTAACCATTAATTTCAATTCTTTTAGACCTTCTTCTACTTCATACACATGTGTCCTTGGAGGGCGAATATGCAAGAAAGGCTTGTCTAGAGAAAAATAACCATAACAAGAATAAAAGAGAGTTTATTGGGTAAGCGTGAACTATTTGTGACAGAAAAACAACGGAAACTGTTACAAGAACACATTACTGACATGTCTTCATCTGTACAGAATGATATAAAAGAACAGTGCCAGACCTGTCTTTGGCAGGGAAGGAGACCTGACTTTTCTCTGCTGCTGAAATAACACTTAAAGGTCCTGTGCTTCCCTCCAGTCTGTGACTGGACAATGAAAGGAGAAGCTGAAGACTGATAAACTCATCTCTCTGGCACTTTGCTCTCTCCTCCTATAACGATGTTCCTTTTTAACACATGAGCACTGCAGCACAGCTGACTTTCTACTTGTGTTAGTTCTCCTTCACCCAAACTGAACTCTGTCAGAGGCTGATATTCATCAAATTCATGTACTCGCTCAGCTTGCAAATGAAACACATTTAATAATGTATTAAGACATTGCCAAAAGGCATCAAGTACTGGCTGAGTTACACAGAATGCGGGCTGACGTGGTCTTCTTGCAGGAGACTCATATCTCTCATGACTATGCGTTACGTTTGCATTCTGGGTACTTTCCACACTGGTACCATTGCACGTCCCCTACCAAGCGGTAAAAAAGACATTGCTTTAGCTGTGTCTTTTATACAGGTATTTTGTTTGACAAAAAATAGTTCTAGACCTGCATACCAATGATCAAAATTTGTTAACAAAAAAAACCAAAAACATTTTATATGAGGCAATTCAGAACAGTCCTGTAAAAATCTGAAGTGTTTTCATGCTTGTGGCAGGTATTTCATGTGTGCGCTGTTCGATCATGTACTTTTTCTACAGCATGACAACACATCTCCAGTAAATAGCTCACTTAGCTAGGAATCAGGTGAGTTCAATGCACAGAGGTTATAATTTTCAGAGAAAGAATGTTAATGTATGGGAGTAATAAGGTGAGAAAGAAAATCTCAGCTTCTAAAAACAAAGTTGGAAGTGTGAGCAGAAAAACCCCAGGGTGGCTGTTATAGAGTAAGTCACAGTAGACCCCTCTAAAATAAACATGTCATGTGACAGATCCAGTAGGGAAAGCCATTTTTTGTTTTTACAGTGATTCTTATCTTTTTGCATGAGAAGTCCGCTTGTGTTTGTTTTATTTTCCGACTGTATAAAATGGTGGACGCAGTCTCATCTGATATCAGTGAGAGGAATGCAGCCGGTTTGATTATTTGGTCTGAGGAAGTGTTGAAGATGGTGAATGGATTTCAAATCTAGGCTGCTAGTGTTCCACATATTGTTAATGGAATTCAGCTGTTACCACTTGAAAATAGACAATTGTACCACCCAGTTCTTTTCTATCAACACACTATGAAGAATTCAAGAAATCTCCCAAAATGACCCAAGATGATATTATTTTGTATGTTTTACTTGTAATATGAAAGGTTGTGATGAAAATATTTTTTTTTTCTTATGCTGCTTTTCTACTTTTACATTCTGTAACTTTTCATCATCTGAGATGATTATGTACATCCATATTCTTTACCACAGTATTATTATGTAGTCAAGAATGATTGTCATTAAATATAGGAGTGACACTATTTTGAAAAGGAGCCCAAAGATACAGTAAATGAAACATGCTGATAGGATATAGAGGCTATTACTGAGCTCCTCAGGGAAAGAAGAGCAGCAGACCAACACGAATGATACAGTCCATAAACAAGTTTAATAATTGTGTTAATCAAGCCAAAGCATTTTGGGAGCAATCTGCTAATTTAAAAAACTACCTATAGTTACACAAAGATCTAAATTCTGTGTCCAAATCTTCATTTCCATTGTTTCCAAGCCACGAGGAATGAACGTATATGACCCCTTGAAACGTGTTGGCTGTTTGATCAACATAGTTATCAAACATTTTTATGGACTCTAACATCTGTTTTGGTCTGGCGATCTTATGCTTCCTGTCCCTGAGTTGCTTCTAGTATCTCCAATTAGAGACTGTGTCATTGAGCCACATAACCATAAGCTAATGAGCTTCCTACAAATCAAATCGGATCTATCATAAAGGATAGCAAAAGACTCTTCCCAGCACTTCTGAAATATTCTCATAATTACTGAGCTCCTGGCTGTCATGCTGATCGATTGGCTTCAACAGTTTCTCAAGCCCTGACCATGAACAAGTCAGGAGTTTTGACTATACTTTCTAATCTGCATGTTTTTTCTTTGTCATGTCTTAGAAAGTACCAGACCCAAATACAGTCAGGCAACCAGTATTCCTAACCTAACATAAAATGTGCAAGTGTATGTTAAGTTGACACCCCCGGCACTATTTAATATTTGTACTATCACAGGGAGACAGTAGGCTATCGACTGAAAATATATGTCTCAGCTGATGGACTCTAAGTGTGTCCAAATGAAGCTGCTGAGACTACAATTCTACACAGAAAGCTGAACTACTATCTAATCCTGCTGTAGTCAAAGGTATGAGGTCAGGGCTATTCATATTTTTACCCATTTTACTAACTCAGGTATAATTCCATTCCCAAGCAAGGCTTACAATTTTTAAAATGATCCAAACTATCTAAGATCTGTGAATCTAAAATACCCAGTGGCTACAAGATGAAAGTCTTTACATTGTCTAATAAATGTTCTAACTCTTCATTGTTGCAAAATGACAAGTCTATAGCTCCTAGAGCAAATTCAGGTAAGAACTCTTGTGTAGAGTCCTGTGAAGGCAGCACATATAGTACTGCTAGTACTGCTGATATGAATCCATTTGTGCACTCAATGTTATAAGGATTTCCTGCATAGGACTTCATGCAGCAGTATTTTAATATGACTTTCTAGTCTAAATATATATTTTAGAAGGGTGTCCAACTCTTGTCCAGAATTTGAGCACCCCACCTGTGATTTAAACAGCTGTAAATGTATTTTTAATTTATTGAGATATTTACTTGCTATAAAACCACAGTTGATGATAATGTACTTACCATATATAGTTACTGAAATGTTTAAAGCCACATCAGGATAGTTGGAATCCCTGCAGATATATATTCCAGCTTGTGCCAGTGTTACATTTTCTAAACCCAGGTGTCTCTCTCCTCTGTATCCATTCTCAGTTAGATATAAGGACTTCTTGGAATCTAATACCTGATGGAACACAATAGAGACATTTTTTATATAAAGCAATATTCATTGGATGTTTTTTCTGACTTTATTGATCAAAGTCTATCTATCTATCTATCTATCTATCTATCTATCTATCTATCTATCTATCTATCTATCTATCTATCTATCTGTCTGTCTGTCTGTCTGTCTATCTCATAGTGTGATAGTGTCATAGTAAGTCAGCTAGCTGAGTCGTAGCTGACTGACTCAGTGCAAACCAGGCCTTACTGAAATTATTGCACTACTTTGTCCAATGTAAAATACATATGAGCTGCAGCTCACCAAGCTTTAATCCAAAGATACATCTCTTAAAGTGCCTACAGGCATTAGAAAATGTTTGCCAAATGCAGTTGTATTGGGAAATACTTGCATATTGTAGGCACCTTCACGACCCTGGTTGATGCTGCCTGGCCAAGCCTGCTCAGGGGAAAGTTGATCGGATCGATGGACATTTCCAGCTTATCAAGCTGACCACTGCATCACTCTTCCCCCCTTCTTCCAAAGAAGCCTAATTGCCTCCAGGCAGCATAAAATAATGACTCTTGCATTGAGATCTCCCTGCACTTCAAGGGTTACATGCTGATTAAGTCTAGGGGCTAGAAGAATAAGAAGATATATTTATCTTATCTATGCTCCTGCAGGCTTCCACTGTGTGATTGTTTCTCTGAAACCTCTTCTCTTTGGAGCTGTGACTGGTGTTTGCACTCTGACATCATCATGTTCAATGCAGGGCCCACGAGAATTTAACCCTTGCAGTATGGGGGAGCCACACTGCAAATGTATTATTTTAAATCCCAGACCTCAGCTTTTAGTTTGCATATTTATAGAAATATATTTGATTAGAAGTTCGGAAAACAGGCCATGTGTGTACTCCCGGCTACATCTAATGACTACACATAGTTAATAGGCTCTTGATATTGTTACCTTTCCGTTGTGCACCCATTCCAAAATCACCCTGGAATTAAAGGGGACCTCCCCGGCACAACGCAGGCTGAGTGTGTTTCCTACCAACAGGGTGGAGCTCTCTGCCGTCACACTGACTATTGTTGTTGCTGCAAACTCTACAATAAAATAGAATACAAATAGTTCTGTAACAGGCAATTGTAAGTTCAAGTCACACACAATTCATTATGCCGAATAGTTAAAAATGTTTACTGGCTGCTCATATACAATATTCTCATATACTCATTTTAAACTGACGTATTTCCACTAGGGTAAAACTATTTAAATATTGTTGTACACTGTTTTTCAGACATTACTACATACTGATTGTATTTGATTACCCAGAGGCACAGTGTGTCTTAAACATTGTCCAAAAAATTGTCCTTTTTTTCTTTTCTTTTTTTTACATCTCAGTGCTGCTGATCTCCTGATTATTTGCACCCACTTCCAGTGTACATGCAATGGCTCTAGTAGTGGCTGCATGTCATTGTTCACAATGGGTTTCCTAGGATTTTTTTAAAATATTAGTTCTGCTATGCTCTATGGAAGAATTTCTTCTCACTTCCTGTTGTGGCTATCAGGGAGTGAAGGGAAATCTCCCCAATGGGATACAGAAGGCAAAATAACTGGTGACAGGGGATTCCTAATTCCTATTTTAAGGCTGCAGTAATGTTTTTAAATATATACTGAATCTGAAAGAAGGATAAAATGTGTATCTTATAACAGCACGGTCCTTTCCATAACAAGTTATTGTATTACTAAGCATCTGAGTAATTTTTGAGAACTGACTGTGACAGTCGTTTAATAAAGAAAGACTCATCATGAATGGCAGCAGAATAAAGGTCATTTTGGATGGTTGTTTACAAGTGGGCAGATTTATTGGAGTGAGCAGACTAAGCCTATTATAGTTAAACCTCAGGAAATCAGAACTTCTTACTCCATGATCTTTAGAAGCTTAGTTTTGGATTGAATATCGCTCTCCCTATTCACCTCTTCTGTGGACTTGTTTATGTGGTTTGTATTCATGCCACATAGTACAGATCGCTTCTATTCACAGTAGTTACATATTCCCGATATTGAATATGTAGGAATGCAGTGATCAGTCTTATCGATCTGAATCAAAGCTGGAAAAATAAGGAACAGCAGAGGCTAGAAGCTACCATGCAAGAGCGTACTACACTGAAATCAAGGAAATATTCCCAAAGTTTCCTCTTCTGTCATACAAACAAATGTGGCAATATAAGGAAAATGATGAGTTAATCCAAACCATGTAAAAATGGGCACAATACAGATGTGCACACAGTTCTTATAGCTGAACTCCAGGATTTTAATAACGTATTTTAGTGATGGGAAATAATTAAAGTAGTTGTGATGTCATTGTTTCTCTCCTAGGACTGAAACTATGTCTAGCCCAGTGGCGTAACCAGAGTTCTGGGGCAGAATTTTTTTTTCGCCCCCCCCCCATTATATAAACAACCACTGGAACTGTACCCTGCACCTCCCCCCCACACACACATGTTTTTATTTTAATTTTTCAAATTTTAATATTTTATTTTTTTTGAAACTTTTTCATTTTTTTAAATTAATTTTTATTTATTAATTAATTTTTTATTAAATATTTTTATTTTTTACTTTACTTTTAGGGGCTTCGGGGAAATATTGGGGGTCTAAACAGACCCCTGATATTTCCCTTTAAAAATAGAAAAAGAGATTGAGGACACAGAGTCCTCAATCTCTTTTTCTGTGTCCCCTGTTATCAATGAACAGGAATCCTTTATGAGTGTTCCTGTTCATTGATAACATGGTATGTTTACTATAACTACAATTATGAATGAACAGGAGGGGATATAGATCACTCCCATTCATTCATAATTGAGGATATAGTATACATACCAGGTCCTCAATTATGTACAAACACTCAGCGATCACTGATCGCTGAGTGCTTGTACCCGTTCTCCTCTCTGACACACACTGTCACAGGAGGCTGCAAGAGGAGAGCCCAGCCTCCTGTGACAGCGCTGGCTGTCTCCGCCCCACACCGCTCTGCTGCACTGTGATAGGCGGCCGAGCGGTGTGGGAGGAAAGACACCGGCCGCTCACAGCGCTCGTCCCGCAGCGCTCGGCCGGCTGTCATTTTCTCTCTGATTCCTTTCATCCCCGCTGGGCACTGCTCTGTGTCCCAGCGGGGATGAAAGGAATCACGGCCGCGCCGGCAAAACGGCAGGAAAATGTCACTTTCGGCATTTAGCCGAAAGTGCCATTTTTGGCCGGCGCCCCCCCTTCACTTTTCGCCCGGGGCCTGCGCCCCTGCTGCACCTCCGGTTGTTACGCCACTGGTCCAGCCGCCAGGAAGACAGATCTGTAAAGTGCCAGATGTCCCATCCCATGACTGTTAGGTGCGCCTCACAGAACTACATGTCCCACGAACGTTTGAAGCTGTAACAAAATGTATATAAGATATCAATAAAAAGTTGAAGGCGTGACTGGGTGGAAAAGAACTGGAGGGGGTGGAAGTAACCATATGCCCGATTGTAGGCAGCATAAACACATCAGAACCTACATGAACTACACTGGGGTGATGACAGTGCTGGTCACCCAGATCCAGAGAAAAGAGCAGCTGTGACCGGTTATAATAACTGGAAACTGCAGCAAGTAAATCGTATTGAACACATACTGTATTTTAAGGTTATATAATCAAGAAAAGCTGCTATGTTTGAAAAGATTCTTACAGGTTCAGCTAAAGTAAGGCCTTTTGCTAGGGAGGAATATTAGATCTGACTGGAGTTCAACCTTAAAAAGAACCAATCATGAATGTCCATTTGTTAGAATCCAGATTCACACTGTTAAAGGATCATTAATACAAAATATACAGTATGTGTCCTGATAGCTTTATGTGGTTAATAATACATGTAATGGTAGTATTCAGTACCTGAGTTCCCTTTTAATGTATGTTTTCCCCGCATATACCTACAGACTAAACGGTCCTGGACAGTTTATCCTGCAGGTAAATGTAGGCAACCCGTTACTCTGCTTGGTGCGCTGCACTGGGGTGTGCTTGATGTAAATAAAAAGTGACCCCTACCAGTGTTATAGCTTCTCCAAACCGCTGTCAATTTAGCTGGGCAGTATGGTCTGCATGTAAAGGTGAACACATGTCAATAAAGCATGTGAGATGAAGTAAGGAATTCATATGCTAAATACTATAATTATATGTGTTACTTGCATACAGTTATTAAAATAAACTATGATTCAGTTAGTAAAACTAAGGGGTCTACTCACTAAGCTGCCGTAGACAGCCGAGTGAACAACCAACCCTAAGTGAAGCGAACGCTGTTCGGCTATTCACTTCTGGCTTGTATGGCTGATTTCAGCATGTTCGGGCGACCCGAAGTGCAGAAGGAGTTCGACTCAGCCGATCCAACATCTCGATCAGCTAAGCCGAACCTCCTCGCTGTTGTTCGGTCAATTCTCATAGATGCCGAACAGCAGTGAGTAAATAGCCGAATGCCGCTCAGCGGCATTCGGCTCGGCTGTTCTGCTCAGTCCCTCTGTGGGGCCGAGCAGAATAGCAAAATAGTTTAAAAAAAAGTAGAAAAAAACAATAGAAAACAATTGTGCAGAGCTAGCAGTGACAGCTAGCATCGCCCAACTGTTTTCCATTGGCTGTTCAGCTGCCGTCAAAAAAATAATAATAATAATATTTCACCATAGGAATGCATAGCTAGATTCCTGCAGCAGAGTGCAGATTGACAGCAGCAAATTGAAATAGCCAATAAGAATCTAGCTATGCATTCCTATGGTAATTGTTTTTTTTTTTATTATTGTGACGGCAACGGCTTGATGTCAGAATAAAAAAAAACAGGGAAAGGTTTACTCTGCTCGATCAAGCAGAGTAAACCTTTCTTGGAGAAAGTGTTTCTCTCCTGGGCGGCCGGGAGCCGCTATCTAATAGCGGGAGACTCCTGGAGCGCCCGGGAGAGTTGGGTTGTCTGGAGATCAGTGTCCCTGGTTACATGGTAAACAGGAAAGCTGATCTCTCTGCAAGTGGCCGGAGTAAGCCGTAAGATCATGGCTGGCTCTGCCCAGATGTCAGAAGCAGTCTGTTGGCCGGCCAATGGCCGGCTTTCACCTCGGCTAAGTCGAGCCGAGGCATATGCCTTCGGCTGGACTGAGCCGCTCAGCCCACTTCGGGAGCTGTACAGGCTATTGTGAATAGCCCGTACAGCAGCCCTTCGGTTCTACTGAACCGAAGGGGTCCTGGGGCCGAAGCTAGCCGAACGTTTAGCCGAAGCTACGGCTAGATCCTTCGGCAGCTTCGTGAATAAGTTAATATAACAATGATGAGGCTCTACCTTTCAGGAATAGATGTATGTGCTGTGATTCACTTGTATTCTCTTCCTGTTAGAGAAGAGATATCAGCTCATTGTCAGGCTGAAAAGCCCTCAGAGGCTGAATTGTTTCCTGCATAAGCTAGAAGCTGATAACTGACACTATGTCCAGACTGCCACAGGAGGGTAAATCTCCCATTTTATAAAGCCTTTAGCTTGCTTTCATTTTATGTCCATGTACTTTTATATTATCCTGACAGTGCGTTTGTGAGGGTAATTAAACAAACAAGGGCTTTTTCTAGCAAGTGATTGGGCAATGGACATTTAAATTACCTTATTTCGCTTTGCAAAGTGAACATTTATTTTTCTAAGTGAACAGTCTTTACTCCTTTAGGAAATCACTCCCAGTATGTCTAGCTAAAGCTTTTTACATGGGCATAAGCTAATTGTCTCCTACTGTGAGTACATTGTCATCAATGCATATTCCTTTTTTCAGCATAGTGATGTCGAATGCTATCCAGATAATATCGTATAGTCCCAATGATGCTTAATTGTAACCTTTGATGCACTGGCTGTGAATGCTGGGGCACCGCATAGATCTTTTTTGTTACCACTCGGTGATCTGTTTCTTATACAGATGACTACCAGTTACTTAAAGTACTAGAACGTAAACTATGGACCACCAAAGGCATTACTGTTCATTTAATGGGGGAAAGTCTTTTTGTCAGAAAATGCAAAAAAAGTGGTTCCTCTATGTTAAAATAGAGAATATATTTAACAGACTGAAGATTTTATGGGGATATAAAAACAATATATTTAGTATGACCATGAACTGAAATGTACGATGAATGGATTATGAATAACATTTTGGGGAGATTATATTTCCCAAAGGACCCCAAGATAGTGATAGGCCCCGTTATTAAAAACTTAAGCTCGTCTCTGGTAGAAAATTATAATGAAATTACAGTCCAGAAATCTTTCCTTTATAAGTCAATCTGTTCCTTTGGCATAGCTTCTTTGATTGTAAACACCAGTGTTATTTTACAGCATGACTATTTCAAGGTTTTGAACATAGCAGGGCACAAATCTAAGCCTTTGATCGCTGTTTGCCATAGCTGGCAATTAGCTCAGAAATTTTATTTATTTAAAGCTGAACAATTATCGCAATAAATGATCCAATTAGTGTCAGCATTTAAAGAAAATATCTATAAGCGGAATATCAGCTATTACTGGCATATTTCCCTCAGCATACCACCAGCTTGTTGTCTGTGATGCTTATCTAGATTGTAAAAATACATTACAAAGTTTTCAGATTCTTTATATTTGCTGACAAATAAAAAGAAGAGATGGAATTTCCTGTCATTTAAACAGGAATTGCACCAAACGCGCATGGCAAGAATTCAGTCTGTCTGGCTTGTTCTGGAACTCAAAAGCTCTTTGAAGAATTTATTTTTTCATTCTTAGAAATCCTCTTTAAATTTTCTTCTAATGCTCTTCCCAGCATAAGTAGTATGCATTCTCTGTTGCTTGCACATCACCCTGTGTGCAGTGATGATTCCTGGCCAACAGATTTGCAGTCACTAATATCTACATGTTTTAGATGAACTGATTTATATGGATTCCTTCCAGGAGTGGTTCCCAACCTTTTTCAAGTCATGACAAGAATAATATTTCACATTTTGTGATGCATATGGGGTTGATTTACTAAAGAGGTATAGAATGTCCTTTTGGTTTAGAGAAACTGTACTCACATTGGATACCCAATCATGTGTAGCAGAATTAAAAAAGATCAGGATTTTTCCTTACACATAACTGGATAATAGAACTGAACACAGCTTCACTGTTTTGCCAAAGGATATGGAAGTTGGGTGTTAAACCAAAACATAAAGCAAAATAGTGGGATGGGTAAGAAGGTACATGTGAGGCGAGGATGAACAGGGGCAATAATTGGGTACCTCTGAAACAGGACAAAACAGAAACATAATAAAGATCTAAGATTAGGGTTCCTTTGCACCTTGATCCAGACCTCTAGAATTAGCTGTAATGATTTAATGTTGAATGAATTCTGGCAATAAGGTAATGATATTCACAGCTATGGTTGACAAGTATGTGAGAACAGATGAATCCTGAAGGACCGGGCTCAGCATGAGCCACTCATACAAAGTGACTTATGTGTACGCTGTATGAAGTTATTGAAATGCTAAATCCTTGGGATTTAGTTATTAGTATCAAGTTTACTCTCAATTTCCTTACTTGTCATTCATTTTACTAGGAGTTCAGCCAATGAAACATGATAATTGGCATGCTCACTTTCTGAGCAAATGTTGATGTATTTGCTTTTGTGGCATAATGCTACAAAAAATTGGATGTATGAGCTACAAATCTACAATTACAATGCTAGGTAAGTTATACGTTACATACTGTATATATTACATGGCAAGTTTCAACTCACCCAAGGGAAGAACTAGCTCCTGGGCTTAAGGTCAGGTCCCTTATTTTTTTTTTATTGTCTTAACTCAAGTTAGGTTTAAGTCACTGTATGTACACCATTTAGCATAATACACACATCGTACAAAGCATTAACTATAAGTGACCAAATGAGCAGCAATGGAGTTTCACAAATTCTCATCACGTATCGAATATTGTGAATAAAGGATATGCAGTAAAAGAGTTAAGATTTATTTTCTGCACTGTAGATAACATGTAGATAACATAAATGTATCTTAGAGGCCTTCTTTCAAGTTTTTATTTGTTACATCACTATCAAATAAAGTTATCTAACACTCAACAGAAACAGCAACAACAGAAACGGCCTCAGGAAATCCAATAAGACATGGAAATGCTCCAACAATAGACTCTCAAGTTGGTTTTGTGCAGTTTTGCTGGAAGGTGCCATACAACAATTATTACTAATGTAACACAGGTTTTGAGAATATCACAGGTGAAACAATAGGCATGCAAAGACTGGGAATTATAATGATGAGATAACTGGACATAATGGTCCACAATACAATCTTTTAGATTGTAAGCCGTCACGGGCAGGGCCCTCCTTACCATCTTGTCTTGAATTGTATTGTGATTGTAATGTCTTCCTTATATTGTAAAGCGCTGTGCAAACTGTTGGCGCTATATAAATCCTGTATAATAATAATTATAATAATAATGGTATTTCCACTTGCCACTGGACATTCCAGTAGTGCTAGTTATTGTGTTGTAAAAAGACTTCCTAGGTAAAGTGACACTGTCATGAGGGAATTAAGGGGGCTGCCATTGCTGGCCTTCTGAAGAAAATGCTAGTTGCCTGGCTGTGTCTGACTTAAAGTAGAACTCCAAGAATGTAAAAGGTTAACCCTTGCAGTGGGGCTACCCTCACTTTTTCTGTAGGGGCTGGAATACGGAAGATATGCTTAACTGGTCCTTGGTCCTGCTGTGCTGAGTGCTCACCTCTCTTCCCCTCCACTCTGGCTGAGGTATGTCCCTTGACGTTCTCACGTATAATGCAGGTGAATGGCTCGGACTGCCAGAGCCCGGGGGAGAAGAGGCTGGATCAAGGAGCAGGTAAATATATCTTCCTATTTGAGCCCCTACACCAAAACACACAGTTAATCCTTGCAGTTGGGTGGAGGGGGGTAGCCTCACTGCAAGGGTACATTTTTTTACATTCCTAGAGCAAACATGCTATAAATGGTTGTCAGAAAGTGTCAGGCTTCCGTAGATCTTTACTGGTTCCAGGTCAGCAACCCAGAAAGAGGTGAAGCCAAAGCATCCGCATGACAGTTAGGGAACTAGCATTCCAAAAAGGAGAGTTCTTCAATGAGAGTTTTTTTACGATTTTTACCCGACACAGCCCAATGTTTTGAGAGTGCCAATGTTTTAGAAACACTTTAAGTCTTTGATATTCAAAGTAGAGACTGGTGACAACATATGACAATACTTTGTCACTGAATGAAAATGCTTATTAGGCAACAATGGATCAGCATCGCAACACAGTCCTTTGTCAAGCCCATGGTCAGTTCACTCTTCAGTTCTTAGATCAGAGCTGATATTACCAGGAATATCTAAATGTATGAGAATACCAGAAATACAGTGCCTTTGTGACATGGAAGGTGAGGTCCATTTAGGGGTATCAGTTATTTCTGTTTCAGATACCTATGCTTTGTCTAAACTTGAGATTCTGCTGCTTACCTATGTTTTGTTTCCAGAACAGAGATCGGAAGTGCTTCCCTTTGACTGTAGTGGTGCATTGCAAAAGCTCATGAAGATTGTAATGAGGTGATGAGATTGTAAATCCAATCTTTGGATCCCATTCCATTCCAGACTGAATGACATTAGATTTACTAAGATACTGAAAAAGAACAAACACTTTAAGATTAGAAATATCGCCATTCCTTAGATGCAGCATACATATACAGTATATTTATATATATATATATATAGAGAGAGAGAGAGAGAGAGAGACACAGTATATATATATACAAGAATAGCCTCCTGGCTTCCAGTTTAAACATTGGCACTGACCCACTGGTCCTCTTTGAAGTGCTGTCCCACACTTGTACTGTTGGCCCCTCAGGCTCACGGCTCTCCTAGCCTCACCAATTCTCTCCCAGCCTCTCTGGCTGTCTTAGTGTGCCTCCAGCACACTCACCACCTGACTCCTCTATGACTTCTGGGGGCGTTCTTCTGACACGCTTTGTTCCTCTTTCCCAGCAGGAGCCAATTCCCCTAACCAGCATCCTTTTCTTAATGGCTGTGCACACCTGTGCAATTATCGAGTGCTGGCCAGTGCTAAAACCTGGACCCAGGACTAGGGATCTCATCTTTCCACCAGAATCACCTTGAAACCTCCCAGTTCAAGGATCCCAAGCAGAATCCAGACAATCCCTTGCTTCCTGAAACGTCTTAGCCCATCTGGCTGAGAGTCCCAGGTGATCATCACATCCAATTCTACAGTGTAATTGCCACACAATACCACAATATATATATATAAAATTCAATTGCAGAATTCTGGAAGTTTTCTCACATACACATGGGGGGGGGGCTCCAGAATTAATGGCTGACGTGGAGAAAGCATACTTTTTGTTTACTCTGAATCTTAATAAGCTCTGTTCTGGGTCTTAATGCCCACAGACTTTGTAGAGCTGTGGGTGGGATGAAGCCCTAGGACCACACCTTACCAGGTAGCCGGACCTCATTATTAGTCTCAGCTGCCCAGCGGTCTTTATATATGTGAGCTGATTGATGTTCAGGGCTTTCTTTACCTATTGTAAGAACCCACTGCTTGGTGAAAAAGCTGAGTTCTGACAAAACATTAACATTGTACAAGTTAGGAACAAACCTGAGTTTAGTTAGTGGCTCAAATAGCAGATGTTTTATTTGTTTTATGCTATGGACTTTCTATACAAAGCCCTCTTGCTTTGAAATGTGTTTATTTGATGATTGGACTGTTCCTGGGTGTCCTTTTCTTGTGTATTGTTTACACCAATGTAGCCCCTATATAAATGTATCTATGTGCTACTGTAGAGATCTGTATTTCTGACTACAAACAGTTAATTGCCTCTGTGTGTGAAGAGAGGCGGAGACTTTTGGGGATTGTAGTCTAGAGCCGAAATGAATACATTGCTGAAAGGACCTTGAGAACTGCATCTCCCAGGATGCTGTGTTAGAGGAAGCAAGGGAATAATTTACCGTAACTGCTGAGCGCAGGCAGTCTGGGACCGGGACCTGAAGTGGGCAGACTTATGTGTGACAGTGTGAGTTAAGACTGCCGGTGACAGAGCTGCGTGGTCGCTGCTGACCAACCGGGACACACCGCCTCTGTACCACAGTACTTGAGAAACTGTTGTTCACTGCTGAAACGAAGAGACAGAGGTCGAGCGCCTGAACTAAGGCCTAGTGGCACGACAGCGGCGGGAATTTTACGGCCTAGATACCAGGCCGACCCCGACACTGGAGTGAATCAGCCAGCCCAGCCAAGTGAGAGGAGTCGACCGGAGCCAGCGGAGATCGTTGCCAGAGACCCTAGACGAGTTGTGATGCGTTGCCAGAGACCATAGACGAGCTGTGATGTGTTGCCAGAGACCTTAGATGAGCTGTGATGTGTTGCCAGAACCCTGGACGAGCTGTGATGCGCTGCAAGAGACCTTAGATGACCTCCCCTACTTCCCAAGTGTCGGTCTGAAGACAGAGGGACGACCATCTGCTACTGACTGACATCATCTTCTCTAAGATAAGCCTGGGAGCGGTGAGAGGCCTTTTGGGCCAGTGTTACAAAGTACTTTTACATATCTGCTACACAGTATGGGCCCCAACGTTGGCTAGCCTCGGACATTACTACTGACCAGTAGTTTAGAGGGGGTGTTATACTTCCAAGGGGAGATATTACTATTGATTTTTATCTAACCCAAGATTAACCCCTGAGAGAGTCTGGCATTACAGATTTCTGTGTAGGCAATAGATAGCTGTGGTTACTGAGTGTCAGAGTGCCTTAGCCTGTTATTGATTATACTGTATGTGAATGGTAAGCCACTAAGTGCATTATTTTATATTATGCAGTTATTAAATCCATTACAAACTCTTCAAAGGTGTGTTGGTGTACTGTGGATCCGACTTTGGGCAGTACATTGGAGCAGGGGGACAGAAAGACCCGGTACAACCAGCGGCTCCTACTGGGGTAGCGCTACATTAACATCAGCTGAACCTACTCCCCTTACAATATATACATAAATTTGATTAATGGCAATATAAATATATACGTATATTCAAAATTGCATTCGAAAAATCCCAGCTTGAATGGTTACTATGGATTACAGAAAAAGTTGAATATTTCTGCTAGATGTAATGTGTATGGTTTCTTTATACTGTACATATTTAAAAAAAAACAAACAAAAAACAACTAAGTCAATTTATTATGCACATGCCAACCAAATTAACCAACCAAGTGAAGAATTCTGCATGGTAAAATGTGTCATGTAGGACACTGGCCCCTAGTGGACAAATCCTTTAGAGCCATAATGTCTACATCGTTTATCTCCACAAATGGATCGACAAGTACTCTTTGGAGGCGATGCACTTGCTGTTATCAGTGAATTGCACTTACCCACAGCTGTTCATGTCATTATGGAACACTTTTAAAGAAATCAAGGTACAAGCTGGTGGCATTCAAACCTAAAGTTTAATTACCACAATGAATGGAGTTATCTTTTCTGCCAACACTCATGAAAATGGAATCTCTAAAGTCTCACTTCAGAAGAAAAGCCCACCCCCTCTACTACATTTAACATTGTGTAAGAGAAGTACATTAGAGTGTCTGATTTATTAAGTAGTTTATTAAGAGATCTACCAATGAAAAACACACCTTTATTCAAAAAACAAGCACATTAAAATCGTTACTGGGATTACTGCCTCTCTCTGTTGTGCTCTCTCTCTCCTCGCTCTCTCCCCTGTCTCTCTCTCTCCTCTTTCTGCTGTCTCTCTCTCTTGGCTGTCTCTTCTCTCTCTCTCCTCGCACACTCTCCCGTCTCTCTCTGCTGTCTCTCTTTTCTCTACTGGCTGTCTTTCCTTATCTGCACTGCAGCAGCTTACCAGGTTATATGCGCTGTCCTTCCACGGTGCTCGTGTGGCCGACTATGCAGATGGGGAGAGATGTCCCGCCACTTCCCGTCTGCAGTATCTGACACAATCAGCCGCACTAACACCATGGGAGGGGGCTCAGGTCAGTGAGCCGATCGCGATCTACCAGCGTTCGCTTTGCAATCGACTGGTAGATCGCGATTGACCTAATGGGCACTCATGCTCTAGCTAATAAAATTAGATACACTTAGCTGGAATAACACTGGCTCTACAAAACATTTATTAGGCATGACTTTCAGAGGGATTATAGTGCTGGTCAGCCTATATGGGTCCAGTGAATTGTGGAAAGGTGGAGGAGTTCACTGCCAGCTCACACTGAGCCTTGGTGTACCAAAAGTACTAGAATCATTCCCATTTAACTGCGGTATCACCAATGCAGCCCACAGGACATTCTACCCAAATCAAGATCAAAATTTAGTGTCAGATATACAACCCCACTTCCAAAAAAGTTGGGGCACTGTGAAAAATCTACATAAAAACAGAATGCAATAATTTGCAAATCTCATGAATCCATATTTTATTCACAAAATAGAAAACATATCAAAGGTTTAAACTGAGAAAATTTACCATTTTAAGAAAAAAATAGGGTCATTTTGAAATTGATGGCAGCAACACGTCTCAAAAAAGTTGGCACAGGGCCATGTTTACCACAGTGTAGCATCCCCTCTTCTTTTGTTGCTGGAGTTTTGAGAAAGGAATGTTGTCCCCCCGTTCTTGCCTGATATAGGATTCTAACTGCTCTGTCCTGGGTCGCCTTTGTCCTATCTTTCATTTCAAGATGCACCAAATATTTTCAATTGGAGGAAGGTCTGGACTGCAGCAGGCCAGTTAAGCACCCTGACTCTTCTACTACGAAGCCGTGTTGAAATATGCAAGGCTTTCCCTGAAAAAGACATTGTGTGAATGGGAGCATATGCTGCTCTAAAACCTGGATATATCTTACAGCATTGATGGTGCCTTTCTAGATGTGCAAGCTGCCCATTCCATACGCACTAATGCACCCCTATACCATCAGAGATACAGGCTTTTGAACTGAATGCTGATAACAAGCCAGAAGGTCCCTCTACTCTTTAGTCTGGGGGATGCTGCGCCCATGGTTGCCAAAAAGAATGTCAAATTTAAATTCGTCTGACCACAGAACAGTTTTCCACTTTGCAACAGACCATTTAAATGAGCTTTGGCCCAGAGAAGACAGTGATATTTGGAAGTATTCCTGAGCCCATGCAGTGATGTCCATTACAGAATCATGCCTGTTTTTAATGCAGTGCCGTCTGAGGGCACAAAGTTCACAGGCATCCAATATTGCATTTTGGCCTTGTCCCTTGTGCACAGAGATTTCTCCAGATTCGGTGAATCTTTTGATGATATATTTAAAGTCTTTGCAATTTTACATTAAGGGAAATTATTATGAAATTATTCGACAATTTTTAGACACAGCTTTTCACAGATTGGTGAACCTCTGCCTATCTTTACTTCTGGGGTTGATTTACTAACCTTATAAACACACCACGAACATGTGATCTTGGTTTGGGTAACAGTTCCTGTGTCCTGCAGTGGTGACACCGCTGTAAAATGGGAATTGGGGTTGTATAAGGCAAGGTGGCCGCAGACTAATATTGTAAATGGAAAGGCACACTGATAAGGGGACAAGTATTGCTACAGATGAAAAAATGATATTACTTTGACTTCCATAGCTTACTGCCTCAGGCAGGACCCATATTGCCATTCTAAAACAATGGGCTTAATTTACTCTTTTTTTTTTTAAATCCATTACATCTGATTTTATGTGAAGTCAAATGTTCATCATGTTTACCCAGCCATTGTATGGAAATACATACCAGGAACTGTGGATCAGCCATGGGAAAAAATAACAGAATTACCCTGGAGCCTTGATTGCAGTTTATATTAACGGCATAAAATACAATATGTGCTGCTGAAATGCTCTATAATGGCCAAAACCTGGTCTTGTTTTGTCTGAACTTCAATAACCGAGATACGTTTTTAATTTTTGTTTTACAAAAAAATGAAAGATTTTGGAGTGACATATTGCAGTTCCACTCCCATTCCATACTTTACTTACAGTAATTGGTTCCATATTTCCCCCCTCCTATCCATCTGATTCAACATACACTTGTGCGTACTGTTGAATAAGGGCAGGTGTTTATCATGCTTCCAAAGCAAACATAGAGTTCATCCCACAGGAGCTGTCAATCATCACAAGTCTTCATGACAGTATTTGTAGTTTATCTCATACATCATTGTGCAGTATGTACAGAACTAAACTGCATCCAGACACAATATACAGTACTTGGTCTGTTCAGGAAAGTCTGGCTGTAATGTTTTCAATTTAAACCCAATTCTGTTCAGTGTTTGCCAGGACACCATAATGTGTCTATAATGTGTTTACAACGTGTCTTTGTTTTCCTTGCCTCTTTTTCACCACTAAGCATCAACAATGTTTTGTTTTCCTGACATTAATTCCTCTTAAGGTACAGACACCCTTTTAGGTAAAGGTGACAAATTATTTTGTAGAACAGTTTTAAACTGAGATAGTGTCATTGAGATCAAGTACCTTACAAAGAAATCCAGGAATTTTAAAAACTTTCTTTGCAGGGGGCATTCCCCTGCATTGCAAGAGTCAAGTGCTCATTTTGTCGAAAGCCGTTTTACTCACCAGATTCTTGGTTGTCACTCACCTCTCTCCCTCTATGCTAAAGGTGAGAAGAGGCAGCAGGGACCGGTCTAGCAGTCTGGAGGGACCAAGGATCTGGTGAGCATATCTGCTTTATTTGGCTCCCCTAGGCAAAAAAGTACTCAGCCCTTGCAATATAGGGATAACCCCAATGCAAGGGTAAGCTTTTAAACTTCCTGGAGTTCCTCTTTAATGGACCACCATGTACTGAATACTTAGGGATCCAGTCACACTTCTGCGCTAACCCACTGTAAGCCATGCATTTTACCATGTGTTGTGGTTCCTTTCACCTGCACTGCAGAGCACCACAACACATGGCATGCACCATGTAGTGTGCTGCATCAGAAAAATGGTGCATGTCCACATTTAGATGCAATGTGATGTATCCACAGCCCATTAAAATAGAACAGTACAAAAGGGGTCCCCAGCACACTTTCAAGCTAGCTCAGGGCTGTCTTTAAGGCAGGGCAAAAAGGGCAGGTGCCCCGGGCCCAGTCATTGCTGTGGGGCCCAAAGCAGCTGCCCCTTGACCACTTGAAGTGTCAGACTGCAAACCCAGCTCTGACAGTAACTCAGGAGGTGTGGGGGAGAAGGAGCAGAGCTCGCCTGCAAAGTGTTAATAAGCGGTGACAGTGTAGCCAATGGATGGGTCACTGCCACAGGAACAATGTCCTCAGCTCTTCAGACGTCTTGGGCTGTGGTGTTCCTGAGAGACAGTGACAGTCCCTGCATGGACTGAGGGAAGCTTTGCTGCTGCAGACAGAGGGTGACAGTCCAGCATGGAGCTGCGTTCCATGTCCCCCTGTCATCACTTTCTTCCAGCTCTGTCACATAGGGGTCTATTCACGAAGCTGCCGAGGGCAGCCGAGTGAATGACCGACCTGAAGTGAAGTGTCAGCCAGATTGGAATAGAATCCTATTTTATATTTGTTAAATGTTCCTAACACAACATAACCATTTTAACAAACATTGCTGTTCACCTTTTTACTTGCTGGATATTCTTATATTTCCTAATTGAATGTAATGTCAGGAATGGGGCTGGAAGTAATGGTCACTATAATTAAACCTGTACTGGCTCATGATCAGCTGTACAGGACTGTCTGTACTAACAAAGGGTTAATGATCTTGGGGAGGGCCAAGAAAATGTTTGCTCAGGGTCCAATTAATATTAAAGACGGCCCTGAGCTAGCCCAAAGAAAAACCAGATCAGACATTACCTTTACAAGGCAGGTAAAGACTCCCAGTGTGTCTGTACCATATCCACAAGAGCAAATATGTCAGCTGCTCTGATCTGTTAGGAAAAAAAGGTAAAGGTTCACATGAGCAGGGCAATATACAAATCAATACACTTTTTGTCATTTTTTGTATATTACTCTGCCCATATGTACTAGATCTGAGTAGCTGCCATATTTGCTTCATTAAAAATGAATGGCAGTTTTAGCAGGTTATGTCTTGATGCGGGACCTGTGACAGACATGGCTACAAAATTTGGGGGAATAGCTAGCCACAAGAACAGCATTTGCTGTGTATGGCTTCAAACATCACGGGCTATTCAATTAGGAGATTTAAAGTTTCATTCTGCTTTTGCAGTCAAAATCGAGAAAACCCCCGCTGTATGTTTATGTGTTCCTATTCACACAGCATACCACTTTTTTTTTTAATACTTCTTTCTTTTCAGATATCTGTCCTCATAGAAATATTAGGGACAGACTGACACCCCCCTCATTAACATACAGTAGAGGGAATGCATAAAAGCTTGAGACAGAATCTCAGGGCAGGCAACCAATCATCATTTTCCAATTTTAACTGCACAAACTGAATACAGAATCTGATTAGTTGCCATAGGCAACTGCTCTGTCTACTCCAGTTTTTATGAATTTCCCCTACATTCTTCAGGCCTTTAACCCTTTGTTAGGACAAACAGCCCTGCTCATCTAGTTTAACAGAGATAATGAAATCACAGTGCAGACAACCCCCTAGACAGTGAGAACTAAGCAGGATATTTCAGTCCTGAAGTTAGCAGAAAAAAGCATCTAAAAAGGTAAGTTTTTTTTAAATTCACGCTATGTGATTGGGAAACTGTAACAAATATAAAGTACAGTAGGTGTTATCCCAAAACTCTGCAAGCAAGCAAGTAAAATAATTGATTTTGTGGTATGTTTATCTGCATGTTTTTAAGTTGGTCCACCCTTAGCCCACCTTACACTTTTAGCTGGCCATATTGAGACAAAATAACACCCATTTCACACCTTTAAAGATCTAAAAATAAAGACTATCCTGCCACTACAAGCTTAACGTGGCTATGTAGCTAGACGTTTTATGTACTTCTGCTACTATTAGTGCTTTGTCAGTAAAAGAATGGAAACACTGGCATTAGAGAATGGATCATCAATAGCCGCTTCTTCCAGTAGACTTTTTTTTTTTGCAATGGGGCCCAAAAATATTTAAACTTCATACGTCTTTCCTCATGTAAAATATTCAATTTAAATCTTTAATAATGAAAACAGAAATATTTCCAGAAGTAGATATATAAATCTGACACTTAAGGTCAGTTGGCAGCCGCCAATGTAGTGGGAATTTGTTTTCCAATATTCACATGTTAGTACAGTGTTAATGAAATGGCAACCACGGCAGCATAATAGTTACTGCCTTGCATTACACTGTGCTGCCAATAGTTCTTACATGCTAAAGGGTTCCATGAATACACTTAGCAAATTCTTGAATATATTTTGCTGCGTTAAGAGGATTTCCTGAGGATCAGTTTTATTATTAAAGGAATTTACTGAATGTATTATTTCCCTGAATGTTTAGTTTAGATTTAGCAAAGGAGAGTTAGTGAAGCAATAAAACCGTAATGATAATTTCCACTTGGGTTAACGTATTATAGAGTGCAGAGACTTCTCCCCCCAAGAACATTATATATAATGCATCTCCTTGGAACAATTCTGTTATTGTCAATATTTAACCTTTAGATTTTTCCTACAAAACAATATCACTAGTTTGCTGAAGTAAATATGTTTACTTCAATTTAGCCATGTTGGCTAAATTGCAGCACTCCACCAATGCCAGGAGTGAATTCCTTGCACACCCACTACCATGGCTAACAAGATCAGCGACAATGCAGATTGGATATTGAGAGCTTGTGCTGGTGACGGCGGGTGAGGCCTAGCCTGACATTAGCGTGCATGCTGCGCAGTGAAGTGAGTCGAGAGGGAGCAGAAGAAAAGCCAAAAATGAGCATTGTATGTTTTATGAAAAATTCACCGGTGGCTATGTAACCTTTACAAGGTGGGAAACACTTGCAGCACTGGGTTTATTTCCGCTTTAAGGAAAGAAGATAATGTAGTCATTTCATGTGAAGATAAAATACTGATTTATAAAATAACAGATAAAAATAAAATAACAGATTCATGAGCAATATCACGTGTAAACATTCCAATTGTACCAATATTCATATCAATACATTGAGCATGTATTGAGAAGGAAAACAAACACAGTTTAAACACACCTTAATTTGCCTTTAGATGTCAAAGCTAATCCTTCCTACTCAGGGGTCTATTGACAAAGCTGCCGAGGGCAGCCGAGTGAATGACCGATCAGAAGTGAAGTGAGCCGAACACCGTTCGGCTATTCACTTCAGGCTGGTACGGCTGATTTCAGTCGTATATCGGCTGAAATCAGCCGTACATCGGCTTGCTTCGCGTGGCTTCGGATCAGCCGAACATGCTCAGCATGTTCGGCTGACCCGATGGAAATAGACAATAGCTTACAACATTTCTGAATACTCTGGGGTTGATTTACTAACCTTATAAACACACCACGAACATGTATACACCTCTGTATTGTGTTCCCTCCCAGCATTATCTATGGGTAGAATCTAAACACCTTTGTAGTGTGTACACACCCAGCAGGTGTGTTGTGCAAAGCCGTGCATGAATTTGAAAGGTGATGTTGTGTAAATTAGCTCTATGTTGTGTTGCTTGCGTTGATGAATGCAGGAATGTAAATGCATGAGCTAACAATTTTTGTCTAAACTGTGAAGCAGCATTATATATGCATCATGTGCAGGATTTTTCCATATATGGCATTAGTGGAAATATGCTTTTAGAGACTTTTTGGTTGATAAATACGTTTTGCTGTGTAAAAATCACACGCACCTAGTGCGTGCGTGTGTTTAGGTTAGTAAATCACCCCCATATGTCTGTTTTCAAATTTACCTAATCCAACTGACTATTAAAAATTAACACAACTTAGGTGATTTAACATAAAGTCTTGTATTTTAATCTGATTTTATAACTGGCCCAATGTTGCATGAGGCATCTAAGCAGAAGCTCAACAGAAGGTCATACCCCATTCAGTCAGTGAACTTTCCTTCTTATAGGGTCCAGTAAAGCATAATTTGCGAAAATTAAAAGGAGTTGGAAGCATAGTAGGTAAGACAGCTATAAGCTACAGCTAGCTATAAGACATCTACAGCTATAGACACTGGCACGTATATGCTCTTTGCTCTAATTTTCTGAGATCTAAAACATTTCTTTGTGAGTCCCTTTTCCTTCTTGCAGGTAGCGTTTGTCTGCTTAATTTTGGCAGCGGATGTTCTATATTTATCCATCGCAGCGTACTCCCCTTCCCAGGTTTCCTTTATACACAGGAAGCCGACTGAATGTCTCCAAAAGGCTCTATCATTTCCTTTCAAGAATTAGAATTCGTGGACTAGCCATTCTGAATTATTTGTAATGACCGTAAAATCTAAGTGGCAGCTGAAACTCTGCACATAGTGAGCATAATTACCAACTAACTTTACTCACAGGAAAAAAAACTCACTATGAATCGCACAGCGTACACATACAGTACACAGTTAATATGAGTCACAGGTTTCTATTAGATAACTACAGGCTTGATTTCAATGCCTGGGTATTATTTAAGGTAGAATTATTCCACTTCTAAATTGCACTGACAGAAATGAAAATTGGAAAACCACTGTGAAGTTCATAGATTTTACATGGTTTCTTGATACATTTTTCTAGGAGGTGGATATTCAGTTTCTCATAATTTCAAGATTGGTGTTTTCGTCCAATAAGGCGTCTGCCATTCATTTTCCTACATGTTCCGTATGTGAGGTTAGTGAGTACATTGTCAAATTTTTTTCCATACTTGTCATAAGATAGCAGCAATCTCAGGTTGTGCATTATCTTGCTGAAAATTGCCATTTTCTGTCCCATTCATCAGATATACTGTATATCAGTGTTTACAATTTTATCAACATACTGCCATTCATAGATAGCATATGCCTCAAACCCCATGCCTGACCCAAAGCAAAACCTTCAGGAGTCAATGTATGGAGTTCTAAAATCAGCTACAGGACAGCACCAGAGGTGTCTTCCACACATCCACACACCTATCCCACTATGCTCCACAGGTCTAAAAACAAGCAATGGGCACTGATATTAATTATGTATGCCCTGGTATCTATACAGAAATTAGAGAGTGTCATGAGGTTGTGCCAACAGGTTCCACCACATCTGGTTCCTCTGGCCAGCTTTACTTTTTTTCTGGGCAATTTTTCAGTGCAGATAAAAAGAAGCCTCTGGCTTTTGCCACAGAACTACAATTTAGATCAAAGGGACAATCTACTACTATTTATGTGGTATGACTACATCCAAGCATTATACAGGGAATTGAAACATGATTCAAACAGTACATATAAGAATTTTTTAACACCAGAGCACAAAATTGGTAATTACTCAGTGTAAAATTCTTCCCAGGACAGCCCGCCAATTTCAACAGAGTTTGCATAGCAGTCTCAGAGAAACATGCACAAACTGTAATTAAACAATTTGAAATAGAAACACGACTTCAAGAGAATGTCACTTCGAGAAGAATTATGGGTTATAAGTCCTGTCAAAACAGAGTCAATGGAGAGGAAGCTAAAGTGCAACATGCATATCCTTAGAGCTGCCTCCTGCATAATGGATCAGCAATCCCCCTGAGTGAAATACTTCTGTTATAAAAGCATCTGCTTAAACATTTGGGCAATATTAATAATCCCATTTACGTTTAAGTGGGTAAAAACACAATACCTTAGGCCCCTTCAAAATGCATGTCTTACATCAAATGGATAAATCATTGGAACAGACAGAATCATTACAAGATAATATTACACATCTGGGGAAGGGTTATATGTCATTAATTACGATAATACATTTTGAAAACATCTACTCTATAACTTTGCAACAGGTTTAAATTGTATCTAAAGCCAAAACTTTTTTTTATAAAGAATGATTAGATCTCCTGTCAGGTTTTACTGCAGTAGGAAGTTCTATTGCAGAGATTCCTTCACTTTCTGTCTTGTAAAAAAGTTGTCCCCAGGAAAGGAAGTGAGGGTTAATCTCTCTTTAATCTCTCTAACAGTCATTTGATTGTAACAGAGAAGTAAGGTTCTTGATTCTGAAGACCCGCGATTACAAAATCTTATTTAGTTTTTATTCAGCAGATCACGTGACTTTAAAAATATAATTACCGGTAGTATGTATGAGACGCATGGAAAAGCTTCAGGTACCACCCCTAATTAATTTTACAAAAGAGTACAATATTCACACCATTACTGATTTTTCATTTAATTGTCTTTTTTGACTTTTTTGTGGTATATATATTTTTGATACCAATACCTTTTAAATAGAACATTGGGGGCACTGGCTTTTAAATAGGATAAGCTTTATTAATAATGTAAAAGAACAGACATTATTATAAATGTCTAATAAGGTGTTTTTAACAAGTTTGGCCCTTTCTACATTTTAATTGTTTTAACAAGGTGGTCTCATTTTGTAAAATTAATTGGGGTGGTCCCTGAAGCTTTTTTTCCTTGCATCTCATATATACCAATAGCTTTTTATTGTCTGTTTCTCTGCTGCAAATTTTCCCTCACTTTCTGTTTGGTATAAGGTTGTCCCCAGAACAGAAGGGGAAATCTCTCTAAAAGAGCCCCATATAACAGTAAAACCTGACATGAAGTACTACATTTCCCAATTCTATCCTAAACCCCCCAGAAATGTTTTGCTTATAAATACACGTCAAAGTTGTTGGTTAGTGTTTTTGTATATATTTTCTTGTATGTATTATGTTTAAGACTAAAAGCAACATGCTAAAAATATTTTTTCCCTTTCCTCTTTCCTTACTGTGGAAATGCATCCTGTTTTACATGTTTACTAGGCTAACTTTAACTGCTCCAAAAAGCAAATGTTTTACAAAGCTGAATAGCTGAAGCTCAATTTACACATACAGCTGAATAAGTCAGACAACTGACTCATCCCATATACCTTCCTGCTCTGTACAACGATGTATGGGGTTTCAATTAAAGATGGACTGTCCCAACGGGTGTAGTTACGGTTGTCCTTCCCCTTTAAGGAACTCAGAATGTTCTGCAAAATCAGAGCCATTGTTGCACCCTGTATTAAATCATAATTCAAAAAATAAAGATTTGAATAACATTTTAAAAGCCTGTAAACTTGGCCCCTTCCCATACTATATTGCCATTTTTCAAAAGTGGAGGTGATTATACGAGTATGAGCACTCATTCAATGGACACTAATACTTTATGTTGTATTTGAGTATCTGATTAAAGGAGAACTAGGAGGTGAGAGATTTTGACTCAACCTCATAGTTGGAGCCGACGTGTGACAATGAAACTGTCACACGTCAGCTAAATAGATTGGGAAGTGAGCGAACACATACCGTCGCTCGCTCACTTCTCGATCATGTCCCTGTAGAGAGCTGTGATTGTCACAGGCATCTAAGTTATAGTTCCTTCACTGGCATTCTTGACAACAGTATACTGAGCACTGGGTCACGGGAGGACAATAGTTTATGTCCTCCCGTGACTCTGAGGAGAACTATGGGGGAAAACACTTACCCCATAGTTCTCCTTTAACAGGATATAACACCCCATATGGCCAAAAGAATGTGGACATCCTGCCAAATTATTGTTTTTATGTGTTGCCAAGGATACTGTTAATCCAACAGCTACAGCATACAGGCAAGTTAGACAATTGCACACTTCCAACCTAGAGGCAACACTTTGAAGAAGACCCTTTCTGTTACTGCATGACTGTGCAGCAGTGGGGCAGCAGAGAGAGTAAATCCGGCCTTGCATGGAGGTATTTTTGAAAAAATACCTTTTCTTTTCAGTACAAAGCTATGTGATCGCAATCACTGTGTGGACATGGTAATACCATTACTTTCTTGATAAAGTTTCTTCTATTAAGCAGTAATCAGCTGTAAATATGTTGCATGCACTGTGTACATATGTTAGGTCATTATTCCCAGGTGAAACTGTGTGTAATAGAAGGAAATGTAGTTCTGTTTCCTGAAACTGAATATATGTATAGATGGGAACTTAACTTAAAGTATATGGCTTATTGTAGGAGGGCAACAATGTACCGTGTGGCTTGTAAAATATCCTAAGGAACCACCCTGTTGTTGCTTGTGAAATAAATACTGTATTGAACAGGCTTTCAAGATTTCCTTCCTGGGACGTAAACGTTCCCAGAACAAGCACTGTAAGACATGTTTTACTTACATACTGTAAGGTGACTTTGAATTCTGGTGCACTAACGCGGCAAGGGACAACCAGTTCATTTGCTTTAACGTCCATAATTGCAGTTCCTGGGATATCTGTATTCATCTCCACAAATGGATGTGTATGATCTAAACAGGGTATGTGAAATCACTAGTTAGAAAGCTTTTTACAGATAGCAATGTCAATAAAGAACATCTAAAGATTGTTTTCTATTTTGGGTAGAGCTGGGATCATTTAAGTTTTTTCTGTCTGTGAAGATTTCCCTTGACTTCCTATCTTTGAGGCATAACATGAAGTTAAAGGAAATATCTCGAACTTAAAGAGGAAATCTCCACTTAGTTGTCATCAGCTCAGGCATTCCCATTGGAAGATTTCCATTCAACCTCAGTTCTGGTGACAACCATAAAATATTGGATTTTGCATCACTTTCTGTGAATCTTTCCAGCAGGGAAACAGCCAGCAATACAAACACTACAGCACTCTATTCAAAACTGAAACAGTTTTGGCTTCAAATACATTTTAGCTACCCAGGATATAGCTACAAAGTGTTACTGTATTACTGATAGTTGTAGAACTATATGCAATAGTAATATACTGTAAAATAGTAATACAAAAAAAATATATATTTTCATTGCATTCGTTGCTGAACAACATATACTTTACTATAAGATTTTTGTACACCTGGAGGTCCGAAACATTCTATAAAGCAACTGCGTCATGAAAAAATGTTAAGCTAGATATCATGAACTATATTGTTGATGAGTTAACCTATAGCAGTCAATGTTATATAAATCACACGTGCCTTCTATTGTGCAGAGTTCTTGGAAGGAAACCATGACAGGAAATAAACAGAACTCAAGAGCTCATCACTATGTTGATGTTACCCCCTCTGCTGTTTTCTTAGCCCTGGTCCCTGTTCTGAGTCTATCAGCGTAACCATTGTGTAAGAACAAGGTCTGCACAACGCAGATATGGGGGCCTGGCTTTACATGGTCTTTGAAGCTGTACATGCAATCGAGCAAACTAACGTAGCCAGCCCATTTGCAAATCTGCTTTCTCTGATCTCTGATTGTCATGGGGCAGCTTGGATTTTTCACTAGTATCATTTTGGTCTAATAGAAAAATGACCCTTTTATATAATATTATTTATTGCTAAAAGAATAGAAAAGGGGAATAGAAGGGGATTTACTTAGTATAAGCATAGAGCAGCAATGGAGCAGAATAAAGTTACATAATTATACAAAGATATCTAATTTTTTCAGCTATAATGTTTAATCTCTGCTGCCGACATTTTTAAACTATTCTTTTTGCACCCTTCAGCTCTGTTTCTGGTGTTTTGAATACAGATCCTAATGGGAATACTGGTAGTGGCTTTAATCAAGGCTTTAACTGGCTTTTGAAAGTTTCAGACAATACCAAACCGTGCACAAGCCCAGCGAAGCCTGGAAAAAGCATGTTAAAGCTAAGGCCAGCAGGCCCACTAACATCCTTACTAAACAATGAACTGAAGGGTTTAATAAAAAGCTGATTAAAACTTGCTAAATGCTTTGCAAATTATTTATGAGGAACATGCTCTTTTATGTTTTTCTGCTGGGATTAAACAATGACACACATTTTAGGGCTTGTTCACACCAAATGCAGACCAGATCTGCATGAGTCTCTGCACACGCAGTACAGTGGGTTGTGCCGCGTTTTGGCCGCGTTTTTTTTAGTTTAAAATTGGCTTTCAGTGCGTTCCAGGGTGTTTGCATGTGTTTTTGATGCATTTGCATGCATTCCGGAGCGTTCCAGAGCAGGTAAAATAGGCTTGCTGCAGTTTTTTACATGCGCTGGAACTGAACACTGCGGTGTGAACTGGAGCCCAAAATTCCATTGGAATACGTTGGACGCAGTTTTGGTCCGGTCTGTAACTGCTCTGCTCCTGGAACGTGCTTGGTGTGAACAAGGCCTTAGGCCTTAAGAAAGTACCTGTGCCATTTTTGTTTTCATAAATGTATCAATCTATAAATATATCTAGGGAGATTGTACAAAGTGGCCAATGTGTATGTTCACCTTATGGCTACCCACATATACAATACAAGGCTCACTAGGCTTGTGACCCTTCTGGTCCTATTGGGGTCACTGGATGCTTAAAGAAGCACTGCAACAATGTTAAAATCCCAATCCGCTTCAGTGAAGAAACAGTCATACGTATATCCATGTTCAGGCTGAAATGTGGCTGCACAGTTTTTAACCCCTATAATTCAGTCACTTGAATGTAATACCTATTTTATTACCCTACAAAATAATGCTGTCAGTACAGAGCATAATTACATTTAACAGCTATTGAATGCAAATACATTTGCCTGTGTTTTATTTCAAACTGCACCAATGGCTCTCTATAACTTGGCTGTCACAAAGCCAATGGTGCAGTTTGAACTCATACACAGTTCTAAGCTGCAGCCCCAGTAAAACTGGTTCTAGGCTTTGTCTTCTAATCAAAGATCTTGAACTTAAAGTACAGATATTTATAGAGTTGAAAGCCCCATGTGTCAGCCTTGTGGTTAGCAGCTTTGCAGTGCTAAAGACTGGGAGACTTCCTGTTATCCTATACTAGCAAGAGATCACAGATCAAATAGAGATAAGTACCTGTTGACAGATCCTGTCCCATCTGATTTCACAATAAGATCGCTGAAACAGAAGTTACTTCAGGAAATCTTAATCAGGGAACTGAAGGGATGTTTCTCCCTTAGCACTCTGATCAGTGAAGGGAGAAATCCTGTAGCACTTTTCACCATTGTTGACAACATTGTGTAATGACTTCCAGAGCTGTCAACACTGTTTGCCTGTGCAGACCAACCTGAAACAATTTAGGGAATAGTTCAAAAAATCATAAAAATTCTGAGAATTATGTCCAAAATGTCAACTTTCTTGGTGCATAAAGCTGACCTGGTATTCCTACAGTTGGTAGACTTCATAATGACTGGCAATGAAAAGTTTGTATCAGAGATGAATACGTTTCAATACCTATTTAATAATGAGAAAATAAAATGTTCTATTACCTTTCACATACAAATAAATTCTAGCTTGAAGTCGCAGACTATTTTTGATTTGGTGTTTATAAAGGCAAGTGATGTAACCTGTGTCTTTTACTTCGGCTTTGGTGAGTTTTAAGTAGCTACATGTGAGATGGGTTTCACTTTGCCTCTTACAACGATGCTCCTCTACGTCCATCCTACTGTGGTTTAAATATGGCAAGTGTTGCCAGTGCCATGTCATGGGACCAGTTCCTCTGTAAAGAAAAATTATGTCACATAAACAATTGCATACTTAACATTAAATATTGCATATTATATTATATCTCAATATATCTACAGTATAAATGATTACAATGTCATAACATTTACACTGTATACTCAAGAGTGGGATGAATATTTAATACACAGGCTTGATTTATGAAAGATTGCAACATGTAGCAGTTTGAGAAAAAAATGTATGGGATGTATTCTTTATTTAAGCAGGATTCACCAGTCTCTTGTATATTTGTTTGCTTTTTGATGCAAACCAAAATGAATAATGCCACACACCATGTATCCATTATTTTTAAAATGGGCCCTGTATTTTAATAGGATCAGCCCTTGAAATATTCTGTATTTTTTTTATAACTACAGGAACGTGGGCTGCTATTTCCATACCAAGCAAGCACTGAGTCATGTCATGCCAACAGCAGAACACTGGTAAGGAGTTACAGCATAGTTGTCCCCACGGGATGGTTGAAAGCACATTAACCACTTCTACCATGACAGCATACTCTCCTGAAGACCAGCAATACTCAAGAGCCTGGTGACAGTAAGCATTGGTCACTGCTGTTTTGGGATGGGTACACTTATTTTGGGCGCCACTTCAAAGTACCCAACTAATGCAGAAGGGTATGTGGGCAGGTATCAGTATAGTATCACTACTGAACTGTAGCATACCAGCTTTTTTTCTACTGTACGCAAGATTTTAACGTCTCTCTCACCTTTATTTTCACTTCTTAAACTGAAGGGACCCAAACTGAATTATCACTATTGGCTGGGTTCAGCATTCAAATGTAATGTTATAGAAGCCACTGTACATATTATTGTGAGAATAAACCCTATTCTTCTTAGTTCCATTGTTTTCAAGGTGTGAGAATGTTTATAAACACATTTTCCTTTATTTAAAATAAAATTTTCACTGTATAAACAAAATGTTCCTCTCTCGCTATGTGAAGTGTAGAAGCCGTCTACCTACATCACAAAGACGTTAGCCCATGACTTATCCTGGAATGTGTTAGAAGCAGGACATCTGATAAATGTGGGTGCATGAATTGAGACACTTATTCTAAAGGAAGTCCACTGACTTTAAAATAAATCAATTGCTTTTCAAAGTCACTGGGGTCTTTGGTACATCCTTGTCTCCTCCCTGTTCCTTCCCAGAAAAAACAGGTTTTTGGCTTCATGCTGAGACTGTCTGCCTGCCGCCTTCCTGAGAGTGATGCTGCTGCGGAGGTGATCGTCTTGAGAGCACTTCCAGCCACTGAGTGATATGTACACCGCCTGTTTCGGCCTGTGACACCCACTTGCAATCACACATTCCAACGTAAGCCCTGGGCGTCTGCCTTCTGCTATAGACAGATATGACCCTTACGGGCAGTGTGAAGTTCACACGTCTCTCAGAAGATTTACTAATGCTATTTTTTAATACTATTTATTGTATTAATTGTCTCACAATAAGCCTAGGGACCATACAGGACTAAACTGAGGAGTAGGCCGAAGAGGTTGCCACCTTGGGCACTTCAGCAGAAGGGAGGGCATAAAAAGGACAGGAGTTTTTATTTGACTAAATGGGAAGGTACAGATATGCTAGTGGGCAAAGCACTGGTTTATTTTAAAGAGTTAAAAAAAACACTTAAACCATGCTATAATGACATACGATAACACTGACTGATAGGCCACTTTAGCAGGTCTTAAAGCAGACCTTCCATGAAAATTGAAAGACTCCCACCCTCCAAAGTCAATTCACCTGCCAATGCATTTTAAAAATGAAATTGTTCCTAAAGAGAAGAAAAATAATATTTGTCCCTGGCTTGCGATGTTTCCAGGAGGTGCGAGTGATTTAACAGTGCTTCTCCCCTTCCTCCTGCGATAGCTGGGGGACTGAAAACCCACGAGAATACATTTCAGCCCATTGCAGGAGTATATTCTTGCAGGATATCAAGCACCCAGCTATCCCAGGAGCCAGCAGTGGCATCACCCAACCTCCCAGAAGTGTCAGAAGCTGTAGATAACTATTTTTTCTTTTCATGTTGAATATTGTCGTGCTTTAGGAAATACAAGTCAAAGTGCTCAGGTGTGAAGGGCAGTGGCATCACAAGCGGGGTGCGGCCCACACCCGGTTGCCACCATTGGAGGGGTAACACCAAAATGACTGACAGTCATTTTTGTTGACACCCCGTCTGAATAGTCGATTGCCACGGTCATTGGCGTGGCAATCAGGACGCCCGTGGTGAAGGGGACTTATAACTCATGCAATTAATTTTCTTTATCTGTTACAAACAATGCATAATTTGATAAGAGAGTTTGCTACCCTTGTAAATGCAGACCAGGATCTGATTTATAAAACTGGAGGAAATGGTTGGGATTTACTTTTACCAGCACATTACAGTTGCAATACAAGTCAAGACAAGATGGTAAGGAGGGCCCTGCATGTGACAGCTGACAATCTAAAAGGGAGTGGGCAAGTGATAAAAGAGGTGGTAGCTGTGTGGAGATGAATTGTTTGGGAAAGTGATAGTTCAGTGGTTAGGTTGAGGTGAAATAGGCTTCCCTAAAGGCAGTCAGAGTAGGAGATAGACAGACAGGTTGAGGTAAGGAGTTCCAAAGGATGGGAGAGACTCTAGAGGAGTCCTGGAGGTGAGCATGGGAGGAGTTTATGAGGGAGCTAAAGAGCAGGAGGTCTTGGAAGAGCAGATGGAATGGTTGGGGTGATACTTCGAGACAAGGTTGGAGATACAGCCAGGGGCAGGGTTGTGGATGGCTTTGTAAGTGGTTGTTAATGTTTGCCCTTCCTGGCAAAGAGTCTGACTTACACCTTTATCCTAAAACAAAAATTTGAACCATAAATTACCAAGCATGGAAGTGACAATGTGAAATGCTAACTAAATACAATATCATAATACACTACTAAGGAGTCATCTATATGTGGTACCATTACAGCTAATGTGCATTACGACTGTATCTCCTGATATAAAAATACTCATAAACAACTTTTTGGTTAAAATAGTCTAACAGTAGACTTCATAGCCTTACCTGCAGACAATGGTGACATTTTTACCCACTTTGGTTTCAAGGTATTCCTTTGCTGGAAACAGCTCAAGCTTAGATAAAACTTCATTACGTTGTCCTGAAAGCAAACATAAAAATTATTATTATATGAAGCTGGGCACTAATAAATATTTATTAAAATCCCATTAGTGTCCATTTATAAAGATAAAGTTTTGTATATTCCAACCTTAAAGGACCTTGTAAAATTATGGATCTTTTTTCTTAAAAACATTTTAATAAAAGTTACATCTTTAAAGATACAATTATGAGTAAGGGTTAATTTCCAATGATACATTGAGTTTGGGGACAGCTTATAGTCTGTGACATTAGGCAGGCATTTCCTGGTTGACCATGTTCCATTGTTCTGTCTAGAAAAGGTATTTGTTAAGACCTTACACATGTTTTTCCAGCTGAGGAACCTTTTCTTCTGTAAGTTTATATTATATAGACACTGATTACTATTACTGGCAAACACACAAATTAACTACTAGCTCATTATAGGAATATATAATGTTGATGTAGTAGGATTCTAAGATATTATAATAGCCCAGTTCAGAATTCAATGCACAATAGAAGCCTTGGTTTCGCCATATACATAACCTAACTGGACAAGGTATGAATTCCTATTCTCTCACAAACAAATACATCAATTCAATGTTTTTTTTTATTTAAAAAAACCCATTCGACCCAGGGTTGAAGCCAAACTCTATGCACATCATTTTAAATATCTTCTGTTTAGATTTTTTTTTTTATGCAAGCTAGCTAAATTTACCAAAACATTTAATATAAGGTCCTACCTGAAACTATTCAATTGTATCCAACCAGGTTGGCCCTTGCACTACAAAGCTGATTTTTTAAAACTTATTTTTAGACT